GATAGATAGATAGATAGATAGATAGATAGATAGATAGATAGATAGATTTAGAAGAAACTGGCAGAGCACTACACTACACACCACAAGGACACCAAGAAAACGTCATTAACCAAATAAATACAAACCAAAAAATAGTGAGAGACCCGTTGTGAAACACAGCAGGGAGAATAAACCTCCAACATTTAATCCAAGCAAGCTAAAACGGCAACAAGCAGAGAGAATTTGGACTGAGTAAACACAAAATATCTATTTGGTTTCAACAAACACTATCATACAAAAATGTCTTCCTTATAAATCACACAAAATGGCTGCTTACCTCCCATCCAAACGACAACTCGATCTGATGCATTTGAAACTATTTCCTTTACTAATCAAGCTTTTTGTGTCCTGTAGATAGAACCACATCATCAACCCCACTTTGACGCTGCCGTCTCAGGGGCATTTTTCAATGACAGAATGCTTATTTAACCTCTGTGCTTTAACAAAAAGAATGTGAGGAGAGTCAAACAGAGCTGAGGATCATTCACAAGAAAATATGTTATTTCACACAGATAAACTCAAATGAACCCATTCACATCAGTTTACTAACGGGATTCCAGAGGCCCAAATCATGGATTCGCATTACGCTGTGGAGAAAAAACTCAAGCATCTTTTGATACAGGAACGTTATAGCAACATGTTATTTGTAAAGTTACGAGGAATTCCCAAAGCCAAACCCGAATCTCTTCCTGTCACAAGTGTTGGATTCAGCGCACATACTGTTGAACTCAACAGAAAACCGAACAGACACTGCTAACTTCCACAATCTCTACAGCCAGTAGATGGTGGTATTGCTCTGTAGCTACCATCAGAATTCACTTTTCTGAATGTTCTAACTTACTCTACTTTTGGTTTAATTAGAGTATATACTCATGTGAATGTACATAATGTACTTGTAGTGTTTGTAGTGTAGTTACATTTTGTATTTGAATATTTATTCTTCTCTTTTTGTCAAAACACAGCTTAGATGATGTCATACCAAAGACAAGCTAAAGATACATGAATCTCAACTATTGGTTTAAGATCATTGACATGAAATAGGTCAAATGTGTGATGGTAAAATTTCTCTGGAATGAAATATGACCCTGGACAGGTCAGGTGTGGGGACCCTAAACTGGAGGCGTTCCATAGACGGGTTTCTCTGTTCTCTGTCAGCCGTGAGTGAGCTCTCCTCTTCGATTTTTCTAAATATCTTTCTCTGTGACAGTCTCCTCTCCTCGTGTCAGCCACACTCACTTGTCAGGATGTGGAGAAGGCCGGGGACATCATTAGTGGGAATGACTCTGGTGTTGCATACCAGCTGAAGATAATGAACCCGTCACAGAGCTGGATGGGAGTTAACACACCGTCTGAATCACCCAGCTGCTCTACCTTCTTCTCATCATGAGTCACACAAACGTTTATCAGAAGTAAATACGTTTTTATTGTTATTATTATCATTATTATCCATCCATCCATTATCGTTACCGTTTATTCCCTAATGGGATCCCGGGGGAACTGGAGCCTATCGTTATTATTATTATTATTATTATTATTATTATTATTATTATTATTATTATTATTATTATTATTATTATTATTATTATT